TCTCTCTCTCTCTCTCTCTCTCTATATATTATATATATATATATATATATATATATATATATATATATATATATATATATATATATAAATAAAATATATATATATATATATATATATATATATATATAATATATATATATATATATATATATATATATATATATATATATATAACATACACACACAAAACACTCTAAAAGATACGCTGTTTTTGCCACCCTGTGTGTATTATCTTGTGTCTGCGCTGATGGTGCTCGCTCCCCCTCCCCCCTCCCCCCCCCTCCTACGCATCCTCATAGACTTGGAAATTTATCCGGAAAACCTTCAGAGCGACACCCAGAATAGGTGAAATATGAAGCCCTCGCCGAGACACCTCCCTGGCAAGTGTTCACAAAAACCACAATATTTATGCTTGGTATTTTTTGGGGTGAGTGGGAGAGGTATTTGCTTGTAGGTGCGTCTGTGTTGTGCTTTTTGTTTGTATTTTTTTGGGTGAGTGGGAGAGTTATTTTGCGTGTAGGTGCCTTTGTGTTTTTTTGTTTTAGTTTTTTTTTTCTACATTTTTCTTGTATTTTCTCGTGTGTTTCCTTTGGTTCTTGTTATATCGTCCTATGGGTTTTAATTAGTATGACTTTGTTTTCCTCTTTTAATCGGATTTATTTACATAGATTTATATATTATCTCGTGTGATTCACTGAGTTAGATTTTGTCGTTCTCTAAACCTAATTTATTATTATTATTATTATTATTATTATTATTTCTTTTTTTTTGTAGATTTATTTTTTTTCTCGTGATTTGAAGATCTTAATTAGCTTAATATTTACTCAAATTAAGACATATCATACTCCAGTGAAAGAGACAGATACAGTATACCTAGTGATATGTTGATTCAGGTTTTGTTAGTATCAATGTATATATTTTTAGCTGTTTTAGGTTACTGTCGTTTGAGCTAGAGATGCAGATAGATAGTTAGATAGAGAGATAGAGAGATAGATAGATAGGTAGATAGATAGGTAGATAGACAGACAGATAGATAGATAGATAGATAGATAGATTGGTAGATAGATAGATAGATAGATAGATTGGTAGATATATAGATAGATAGATAGATAGATAGATAGATAGGTATATAGATAGATTAGATAGGTAGATAGATGGATAGGTAGATAGACAAACAGACAGAAAGACTGACATATAGATAGAGATTGAGGTGTATAGAAATTGATAGATAGATATAGAGACAGGAAGAGAGAGAGAGAGGGGGGGGGAGAATGAGAGAGAGGGGAGAGAGAGAGAGAGAGAGAGAGAGATAGAGAGAGAGATAGAGAGAGAAACAGAGAGAGAGAAGAGACAGGAGAAGAGACAGAGAAAGAATCCCCCTTTCTTTAACGATGACGTCACAAAATAAATCCCCCCACAATTTTTTTAAAATGATATAATGATACAAAAAATATCAATAATATATAATAACAAAATGATAATAATAAATAATAAAAAATATCAATAACAATAATAATAAGGGCATCATATCAACAAAAACAATTTATAAACTTACATTCTAATCCTAAAATTTCATTTATCAGAAGAACAATGTTTTTTTTCATACCTAATGTGATCTCAAGGTTAACATCCAAATATGGAAGTCCGGAGCGAACACGAAAATTAACAAAAAACAAAAAGATAAATAATTTTTTGGGGGGAAGGAAGGTAGATATGTGTGTATATGTGTCTTATATATATATATATTATATATATATATATATATATATATATATATATATAACACACACACACACACCACACACACACACACACACACACACACACACACACAAAGAGAGAGAGAGAGAGAGGAGAGAGAGAGAGAGAGAGAGAGAGAGAGAGAGAAGAGAGAGAGAGAGAGAGAGAGAGAGAGAGAGAGAGAGAGAGAGAGAGAGAGAGAGAAGAGAGAGAGAGAGAGAGAGAGAGAGAGAGAGAGAGAGAGAGAAGAGAGAGAGAGAGAGAGAGAGAGAGAGAGAGAGAGAGAGAGAGAGAGAGGAGAGAGAGACAGAGATAGGTAAGGAGAAAATTAGATAAAAAAGAAACAGACATACAGACGAACAAACACAGGTAAGCGAACAACGAAAGAGACAGAGAGAGATAAAGACAAAGCGAATCAGAGAGAGAAAGAGCGAGAGAAACAAAACGACAGAGCACGTGCGGGAAAGACAGACAGACAGACAGACAGACAGACAAATAAACAGAACAGACAGACAGACAAACAGACAGACAAAATAACCGGACAGAGACAGACAAACAGATAGACAGACAGACAAACAGACAGAAACAAACAGACAGACAGAGAAACAGACAGACAGACAAACAAACAGACAGACAGACAAACAAAACGCACAACAGACAGACAAGACAGAAGACAGACAGACAAACAAACAAACAGGACAAATAACCGGAGAGACAGACAAACAGATAAACAGACAGACAAACAGACACACACACACCACAGACAAACAGACAAACAAACAAACAAACAGACAGACAAACAAACAGACAAAACAACCGGGCAGAAGGAGGCGAGGCGACGGCGCGGCGGCGGAGGACAAAACATGCTCGTCACGTGCAAACACGACCCGAGCTTCTCTCCTCAAATCGCCGGCGTCCATCTTGGAAGCGACCTCCATGTTTGCGCGCTCCTCAGGACTTCCCCGAGACCTAATGCTGTTTTCTCTCTCTTCTCTCTTAATCTTCTTCTTCTTAATCCTCTCTTCTCTCTTCTCTCTTTTAAACTCTCAGGTGGATATGATTATTTTCTCTTTTTATTTTTCTTAATCCTCTCATCTCTCTCTCTCTCTCTCGTTTTTAAACTCTCATGGATATGATTATTTCTCTTTTTATTTTTCTTAATCCTCTCTCTCTCCTCCACTCTTTTTTAAATCTCTCAGGTGGATATGATTATTTTCTCTTTTTATTTTTCTTAATCCTCTCTTCTCTCTCTCTCTCTTTTTTAATCTCTCAGGTGGATATGATTATTTTCTCTTTTTATTTTCTTAATCCTCTCTTCTCTCTCTCTCTTTTTTAAACTCTCAGGTGGATATAATTATTCTCTATCTATCCACGTCTGTTGCCTGAGCTGGGGCATACTAAGGAAAGAAGTGATAGGAAGGTGAAACTAAGGTGATAAAACGGAGAAAGGGGAGACGACGACAAGAAGAAGAAAAAAATGGGAAACGAAAATGAAGAAGAGATTTGGCGCGAAAGTTGGGGTAACTCCTATTTCTTTCTTTCTTTATTTATTGGTGGTTCTTTCTTTCTTATTTTTTATTGGCGTTTCTTTCCTTCTTTCTTTCTTTCTACCTTTATTGGTGTTTCTTTCTTTCTTTTGCTATGTGCGTTCTTCATTTGTTTTTCTCTGGGGTCGAGGTTGCGCTGGCTTGGCAACCCTTGGCGCGAAGGTTGCGTCCAATGGCGTTCTTTTGGGGTAACTCCTATTTTTTTTTCTTTATTTATTTACTTATTTTCTTTCTTTCTTTCTTGGTGTTTCTTTCTGTCTTTCTTCCTTGGCATTTCTTTATTTATTTATTTCTTTATTGGTGTTTCTTTCTTTCTTTAATTATTGGTATTTCTTTCTTTCTTTCTTTAATGGTGTTTCTCTCTTTATTTCTTTCTTTATTGGTGTTTCTTGGTATTCTATTTGCCTTGGCGGAAGGAAGGGCGGGAGATTCTGTTGTTTAAGAAGAAGGAAGAAAAAGAAGGAAGAAGAAGAAGGAAGAGGGGGGAGGAGGAGAGGGAGGAGGGGAAGGAGGGGGAGCAGGAGGGAGGAGGAGGAGGAGGAGTAGGAGGAGGAGGAGGAGGAGGAGAAGGAGGAGAAGAAGGAAAAGGAGGAGGAAGAAGAAGGAAGAGGATGAGGAGGAGGAGGAGGAGAAGCTGGAGTAAAATAAGAATAAGAATGGAAGAAGAAGTAGGAGGAGAATAAGAATAAGAAGGAGGAGGAGGAGAAGAAGAAGAGGAGGAGAAGGAGGATAATGAGAAGGAAAATAAGAATAAGAATAGGAATAAGAGGAGGAGAAGAAATAGATGGAGGAGTAGGAGAATACGAATAAGAGGAGTAGATAGTAGTAGAAGAAAAGGAGGAGTAGAGGAGGAGAAGAATAAGAGGAAGAGGAGAAGTAGAAGAAGAAGAACAATAAAAGAAGGAGGAAGAATAAACAGAAGAAGAGAAAAAGAAAAAACCCTGGATAATTTGAGGTCTGGAAAATACCCCTTCCTCTATTCTCAGAACACTTCACATATACCCGTTCGTGTGTTCGTGTGTTCGTGTGTTTGTTTTGCTGTGTATATTAGCGTTGACTCCTGGGATTGGCGGGCAGAGCGGCCTCTCCTGTGCTGAGGTAAGGTGTGTCGCCGTGCAGTTTATAGTTTATTTTCTTTCTTTCTTTTTTTGTTTCTAATTTCTTCTGATTTCCCCCTATCCCTTATTTATTTATTTGTTTATTGTTTTTGTTTTTTGTTTTTGTTTCGAGTTTGTTTTCATTTTTTTTTTTTTTATTTATAGATCGGATTTTTTTATTTGTAGATTTGTGAATTTTGTTTCGGATTTTTTCCTCTCTCTCGTCCTTTGTTTTTGTTTTTTTGGCGAGGGATTTTATTGTATTTTGTGTGTATTCTATTGATCTGTTTATTCAGCTTATTATTATCATTTTTAAAAAAGAATGTTGTACTATTATTATGTGAATCCTCCTCCCCCCCCATTCCCACATTTTTTTATTTATTATTTTTTCATTTATTATTATTATTTTTTTTTTTTGGCAAGCAATCTTATTGTACTTTGCTCTATGTATTCTATATATATATTCATCCAATTCCTTTTAAAGAATGTAGTGTTATTATTTGTCACTTCTCCGTTTCCTCCCAATCTACCTTCATTTCCTTTTCAATTTTTAGGATTTAGTGCTTTAAAATTTCAGTCGTGGTTTTCATAATATCGCATTCCGAAAGACTGCACG